ATGTAGCTGGAGGGAATGATGACATGGAGCACTGTGGATCGAGAAAATTTGTTAGTGGAGTTTTGCTTTATAAGAGTATAAGATGTTTGATAACTTTTTTCTCCTATAATATACGTACATGTTTACTATCGATAATATAAATAGAAAATATTAGTCCCAATACCCTCTTCCTCTCCCACTAAAGCAAGAAAAAGATAATGAGCATAAATGGCAAATGCCCACATAGTGACAAAGAAGTCACCTTTTGTAAATACTCCATGAAAACTTTTAGTTGTAGAGATTACTACCAACACTCAAGCCTAAATGCGCGTACAATGCTTTCTACGTAGCCTTCTATTACTATCAATTTTACAGATAAGTTCTCTGTTTATAGTTTTTTTTATGTAAACAGGACGACCATAACCCTACTGTGAATTTTGTTAAAATTTGATTAAAGACTAGATGAGTGCCCGTGCGTTGCAACGGGTGCAACATAAATTAAATGTGATGTTTGTTAGCCAAGTCAAAATCAAAAATATATCAATTCAATTTTTCACGTGTATTATACCACGATAATGTCTAGAAACACATTCATTAACGTAATGAATCTGAAATAAAAGCTAGGCTTGGAACTTGTTGTCTGAAAGTTACGATAAACATCAGTTGCCTCAAAGGCTGAAAATTTATTGCTAGGCATCGAATTGAATTTATCTATGCTCTGCCTTGCCAAAACATGTATACTCGGACTTACAATATACTAGCCCGCATGAGGCATGGCAATAATTCATTTTTTAGGAAAAAATATTTGTTGTCAACACGCAACGCGAAGGACGACGAACGAGATTTGGATCACGATCATGATCATTGCGTGGTGATATTTCAATAAATTCCTTTATCTTTCCATAATTCTCTTTCTGTTTTATTCTATTTTATTTACTTGTCTTCCAGTATATCCATACGGTGATTATTTGTCTTCCTTTCTCTTCCCATAATTCTCTTTCCGTTTTATTTTATTTTATTTACTTGCCTTCCAGTGTCTCCATGCGGTGATTGTTTGCCTGCCAGTGATTCCGTGAGTTTTATTCCATTTTATTTACTTGACTTCCAGTGTCTCCATGCGGTGATTATTTGCCTGTCGGATATGGATTGCATGAGATGCGGTGATTATTTGCCTGTCGGATATGGATTGCATAAGTGTTTTGGTCCTGCCGGGTAGATGTTAACAATGCATATGTTTTAGTTGTAGAGATAGAGTTTATTTACTTACCTTCCAGTGTCTCCATGCGGTGATTATTTGTCTGCCAGTGATTCCGTGAGTTTTATTCTATTTTATTTACTTGTCTTCCAGTGTCTTCATACGGTGATTATTTGTCCGTCGGATATGGATCGCATGAGATGTGGTAATTATTTGCCTGCCGGATATAGATTGTATGAGTGTTTTGATCCTGCCGGGTAGATGTTGATAATCCGTATGTTTTAGTTATAGAGAAAGTACAACTAGAGCAGCAAAGAAGAGCCGCTCAAGAGACAAAGAAAGAAATAATCAATGAAGACAGAGAAAGGTGTCATCGTCTTGTTTATTCAGCCTGTTCGTTTGTTGGTTTCAGCTAGCCCAAACCAGTCAGTCAACAGTATTTTTCTCTCATAACAAACCAGCACCAGCCAGCCCAAACCAGCCCAGAAACCAACTAGCGAACAGGCCGATCGGCGGCGCAGGCTCATGCTCCGAAGCAAATCTGGCCCAGACAAACGCCGCTGTGGATCCATTGTGGTTTATTAGCATGTGTTTGGTTCCGGAGCCATGTGGGTTGGGTTGGATCCATCCCACTTTTAAGGGTCAGGTTGAACCTGTATTGTGTTTGGTTCGAGGGTTAGAGTTGTTCTAATTTTTTGTTTGGTTTAAGGAATGGAGTGGGTTAGGATGGATGGCATCTTTAACACCGTCACTTGCTATTTACCTGGGACCCAGCTGTCAGCCAGCTTCGACCCATCTTCCACCTCTCGTCGTTGCCCAGCCAGAGCCGCAGAGCACCGCGTGGCCCCAACACTCCGCCTCGGCAGTAAGCGCCCGCCCGCCCCGGTGGCTTGCACCTCCCCGCATCCGCTCGCCGCGCCCCAGCCAGGCCTGCGTGCGTCCAGCCTCAACATCTTGCGCCGCGCCGCGCCGCCCCGGTGGCCAGCACTGTCCCGCACCCCGCATCCGCCCGCTGCCACCCCAGCCAGGCCTGCCCGCGTCCAAGGGAGAGAGAAGGGAAGAAACAGAGTCGCGACGACGTCGAAGTGGGTCGAGCCGGTCCGCTCGATTTGGAGAAACCAACTGAACTCGCATCTACTGAGAATATTCCCTATGCGGGTCGAACCCAACCCATACATCCTGGAACCAAACACCTCTAACTCTAGGTTTGACCCACCCCAACCCAATGTAACCCTCCAACCAAACACATACTTAGCTTCTTCCGTTTTTCTAAAATGTGTAAATCGGCTAAAACCTATAGAATTCGTATAAAATTAGAATAAAATATAAAAATCATAATTCAAATTGTGTTAGGTTCCTTTTGACTAGAACTATAACCTAAAGTGACAAAACACATGTTAAACCTTAAATGGTTGATGCATTTTTTTTGTGGAATCTTAAGTGTACTTTTGTAGAACATTGTTGCGCTCAATAAATCCTGCAATTTATGTAAATTACTCACATCAATGTGACACTAGAGTCAAATGTTTCACCGCCAGCAAGGCTCTTGCTATGGAGCTAAAAATGATTTAGTGTTTTTAATGTGATATTTTTGTAGGTTGCATATGAGCTCTAAAAATATAAAATATTTAGAGTAAGATAATGTAATTCTATTTATTTTTTAAGTAAGAAAATATAAAATACATCATTTATATTCTATATGATAATTATGCTTGATCTGCTTTATATCAAAAAGTAACACAATGTATAAAGGGACTATATTCATATTTGACTATGAATAAATAAAAGCATTAAGCAACTTACATACTACAGTTAAATAGATAGTCTATTGTACATGCTATTGATTTTAAAAGAGTTTAATTTTCATTAAATGTTGTGACATATCAACAAATTAACCGAGTTATTAGCAAATTAAAATTATGATGAAGAGATAGAGAGAGAGTTTCATAAAGTTTTGTCTGGATGAAACTCGTTATCACAGTTACCAACATAAAATATGATGTGTTAGTCTTGGTAACTATGTTATAAAATTCAGTAATGCTCCCTATATGGTGTCCGGACGGAGTGGTCTCCGTCTTATCCAGCGCCGCTCGTCAGCCCGCTTCTCCAAAAAAAAAGGACAGTGCTGCTTCCTTCTCCGGCGCGAGGCTCCTCGCTGTGGCCTTCTCCAGCGTGCCGGGGCCACATCCGCTCCCATCCCGCGCTCCTCTCCCCATTCCGTGCCGCCCCACTCTGCCACGCCGCGGCTCACTTCAGCGTGCCACCGCCACCATCCCCCATGGCGCACCCTATCCCTGCCTTCGTCCCCTGTTGCGCCATGCCGTGCTCAGTTCCCCGCGCCTAGGCCAGGCGCAAGCTAGCGCAGCTGGCCGCTGCCAGGCCGTGTTACCAACCTCGGCCGCTGGCTTGCCGGAATCAACTGTTCCCCGCTCTGTGTTGCATCATACGGAAGAAGAAGGGTGAGAACCGTATGTTGCAAGAGTATGTTTTAAGTGTTTCAGATATTTCAGAGGTACGTTGCAAGTGTTGTATATCAATGTTGTAAAAGTAGACCGAGATGTTGCACATGTTATAATGGCTATACACATATGTTTCGATTGTATGTTCTAAATGTTTCATCTGTTCCAGACGTACGTTCCAAGTGTTTTATCTCGATGTTGCAAAAGTAGATCTGGATGTTGCATATACATGTATGTTGCAAACATATGTTTCAAAGTGTTTTTAGGTGTTTGATACATATGTTTGCAAGTGTTTCATCTGAATGTTGCATATGTTTGCAATGGTTTTCAATTTTTTTCAGGCGTTTTCGCAAGTGTTTCAGATGCTTGTTTCAAGTGTTTCATGTGTCTTCTTTGCAACTGTTGCATCCGGATGTTTTAAAAGTAGATTGAATGCTGCACATGGGATGCGTGGGGAAGCGGCTGATGGCGTGAGCAACTTTCAGGGCAGCGCGTGTCCACTGCTGGTGTGCTCGCTCACAAGCTCAACGTGCTAGCCGCTCGCTCGCTCACTCTGTGGGCACCGTCCGAACACTAGCAAGTCCGTACAAAATTATTTGTCGAAACTCACCTTAAAGATGGAGAAAAGTCACAAGTATTGTCCTCCCTCGGTCCAGAAAAGAATGGAACTACGGGTTGCGTGTCAGTAAAACTAGTTCATGTTTGACCAAGTTTCTAGTGAATAGTATTCATATTTATGGCTTCGAATCAATTTATTATGAAAATACATTTCGTAATCGATCCAATGATATTTATGTGATATCATAAATATTGATAATATTTTATCTATAATTAATGAAACTCAAAATACTAAAATGTAGCACCCTGCTAGAATCGTATTCCTCTCTGGACATAAGTAGCAGATGCCATCACCGAGTTACAAAATTCACCCTAAAATTTATTTTTGGGCGGCGTCTGCGCTGCGTGTCGGTTCGATGGTGCGAGCAAAATGAAGAGGGGCGTCGCTTCCCCTTCTCTCTCTATTTCTCTCTCTCTCTCTGATCTCGATTCAGTTTCCAGTTTCGTTTCCTCTGCGGCGTCCGGAGAGCGATTCAGATCGCTTCCCCATCTGAACTCCATCGCCGTAGAGTCCCGCCGCCATCGCCCAGGTTTGCCCCTCGTATCCAAAAACCCTAAATGCCTACAGGGGGATTAGAGGTTTAGTTCTTCTCCTGTGCAATCTGCAAAGTTGAGAAATCAACAGTGCAAAGGTCACCGAATCGAGTCTAGATTTCTCCGTTTTGTGTACATTTCCCCAGTTCTTTGCTTTGAGTGCAAAGTTAATGATTCGATTTGATGTTTATCTTTCCCCGTAGGGGAGGGGCAGGATGCCGCCGGCGCGGCGACCCCGCGTTTCGTCGAGGCCGCCGTCCACTTCCTCCGCCGCGGCGGCGGATGGGCGCGGTGGCAGAGGCTGGCTGTCCACCCTCCGTGGTGACCCCGCCAAACGTCCGCGCCGTGCCGACGACGACGACGGCACGCCGCTCAGCGACGAGGTTCTCCTCGTCATCTTCGCCGGCGTGCACAACCTCGCTGATCTCGTCCGCTGCTCCGCCACCTGCCGGCGCTGGCATCGCCTGGTGTCCGCCGAAGCCGCCTTCCTCTGCCGCACTCCACGGCTCGTGCCCGCCAGGTTCATCGCCCCCCTCGCGCTCGGCTTCTTCCACCACCAGGCGGACGCCGCGCCGGGCTTCGTCGCCATGGCCTCCGCATCGCGCCGCTTCCCCGGGCTCCTCCGGAACCCGCCGCCGTCCCTGGGCGCGCTCGTCGACAACGGGCTGTTTGACGGGTCTTCCCGCATCGTGGCAGCCAGGAACGGCCTCCTCGTCGTTGACATCCGGCACGGGAAGCACAACAGGGCGCTCAAGCTTTGCGTCTGCAACCCAATGACAGGTGAAGTGCACGTCCTGCCACCCCTGGCAGGCAAGGATGGCCTCGGGCACTATGCGTGCACGGTCCTCACAGCCGAGGACCGTGATGACAAGGCCACTGACCCGCCGCCGCCACCGTCGTACTTCCGCCTGGTCATGGTGTACACTCGACGTGGCTTCACTGCGTTCCGGAGCTACTCATCGGACCAAGGCAGCTGGAGTGAAGAGGCAAAAATGACCGGCTCTAGGCTCGGCAAGAAACAGATGGGCTTGACACACAGTGGAGTCGTGAGCCGTGACCGCAAGCGAGTGTACTGGATGGCCAAGAACGTGGTACTTGTTCTTAGCCTCAACCATCTGCAGTCCGCACTGGTATTCATGCCTCGGTCTGGAAACGGAAAGATCTTTGACAAAAACTCCTTGCTAGGTTTGTCACAAAAGGGTTTGCTGTGCGCCGTCCAGTTTGACCCACTGCCAGCACGTATGAAGGCTGACCGCATCTCCATACGCATAACCACCTGCACCGACCGTCGGTGGTGGGATGAGATCGAATCAATCAAGGTAGGACAATCCTTGCCTGCCGATGTGATCAGTTTGAAGCTGAGGTGGTTCTGCGGGAAGAGTGGCTTTGTGTTCTTCACAGCCGTCACTGGGGACAGTGGCCACCGGAGAAGCTTGGTGTATGCTCTGAGCCTCAACACACGGGCGGTTGAGAAGCTGGGGAGCCACGACGGTGAAGGTGATCTGTGGGAGGGGCTTCATGGGTACGAGATGGATCAGGTGGCATACCTGGCATCCCTTGCTGAGCCAGATGGCCCGAAGGATATGTGATGGGTCTCTTTTATGGGTATATATAAAGCTCATGCTTTTGCTACCTGGCGCTTGAAGAAGTAACTTGGGAGGTTACTTCTGTTATGTTGCTGGTCAAAACTCGAGACCAAGTTTATGTGTAATACTTAGGTATCGTGTCAGGCTGTTCTGTACAAAGTGTCTAGCATCTGTTATTTTGGTCGGTAAAACTTGTGGTTGGATGGTTTAGGAGCTGGTACCATTGAGTCATATTTGATCCACCAATTAAGATTTTTGTGAGGAGTTTGAAAATATGATGGTAAGTGAGTTTGAGATGTCTATGATTGGAGAGCTTAGCTACTTCCTTAGTCAAATCAAGCAATTAAAGAATGGTATATTTGTGAGTCAAGGCAAGTACATCAAAGACATGCTCAAGAAATTTGGAATGGATGATGCTAAAACTATTAGAACACCAATAGGGACAAATGAAAACTTAGATAGTGATGCTAGTGGCAATATAGTGGATCAAAAGATGTATCGGTCTATGATTGAAAGCCTACTCTATGTGACCGCATCAAGATCGGATGTAATGTTTAGTGTATGCATATGTGTTAGATTTCAAGCATCACCAAGAGAAAGTCATTTGAAGGCAACCAAGACAATATTGAGGTACTTAAAACATACATAAAATGTTGGATTGTGGTATCCCAAAGGAGAAAGATTTGAGTTGATTGGATATTCGGACTCCGATTATGCGGGACGCAAAGTTGAGAGAAAGAGCACATCGGGCACATGTCAACTATTGGGAAGATTACTTGTGTCTTGTTCATCAAAGAAGTAAAATAGTGTAGCACTTTTAACCACCGAACCGGAGTATATTTCGGCTGGTAGTTGTGCTCAATTATTTTGGATGAAGGCAGCTTTGAGTGACTTTGGAATCAAGTTCAAACAAGTGCCATTGCTATGTGACAATGAGAGTGCTATCAAGCTCACCAACAATCCGGTTCAACATGCAAGAACAAAGCACATAGATATCCGTCATCACTTCATAAGAGATCACCAACAAAAAGAGAACATTTGCATTGAAAGTGTGGGCACTGATGATCAACTTACCGATATATTCACCAAGCCACTTGAGGAGAAGAGGTTTTGCACACTAAGAAATGAATTGAACATACTTGACTTCTCCAATATGTGTTGATGCACCCTCATATATGACATGTCTCTCCTTCGAGCAAAGCAAGGTAAAGTTGATTGACATGTCACTCATCCATTGCTAAGGATTTGTTTAGCGCATCTAGTCATTCCTCATATGTCTTAGGATCATTCATGAAAATCAAATGAATTTGATGCTTGTATGGTACAACTATTGCTTGTATGCTTGAAATGATCTAGTGGTAGCATATGACATGTTTATGGGCTTGTGAACCTAGTGCTTAATCTAGAAAATGAGTTATAAGTGTTTAACTCAATATGGTGCATGATAATCCTCATTTGGAGGTGTTAAAAAGCTTGCCCTTGAATCAAACCGAGTTAAATATTTTTTGCAAGTGATCTAGATTGAATCATATTGAGAAAATGATCCTCACTTCACGTGGTTTCACCCCAGCTTATCTAAAATTTAAGCTCACCTTTTGTGTTAATTGCCGACAAAGGGGGAGAGAATTCACAAAGATAGTAAAGAAATAAAATGACATTGTAAAGGGATCAATGAAAAGTTGAAGCACACGAGCAGGGGGAGCAAGCTCATAAACTTGTATGTTGCATTTGTATGTGCATTTACATATGTTTGCTTGCATGGCATAAGTTTTTTAAATTCCATATCCATGCATGTGTGGTGTATGCTAGATTATAGAAAATGATTGATGAAATGAAAACTAGCATGCATAGGAAGATTAACTAGACGTGTGTGAAGGGGACCGTGACGCCTAAGAGGGGAAGGTGAATTAGGCAACTTAAAAATCTACTCCTAAACTATGGTCTCTTTTTCTAACCCTAGCAAAACCTATGCAAAAGATAAACTATCTAAATATGCAACTATGGTTTTGCTAGTGTGTTGCTATCTCTACCGCAAAAGAAGTAATACAATGGATGTAAATGCGGAAGCTAAAGAGCAAGGTAGAGATATGCAAACTCCTGTCGACGACTCCGGTATTTTTACCGAGGTATCGAGAAGCGTGCAAGCTTCCCCTACTTCTCGTTCGAGCCCCTCGCAAGGGTCAAGCTCCTGGTCGGGTAACTCCATGGATACCCTCGGGCCTTCCCCACGCGCAAGTGGGTCTCCGACGTGCCTTCTGGCAAGCCTCTCCCGGATGCTACCCGCTGTCTTCACTATCAAGCTTCCGGCCGAAACGCCGCGGACCATGTTCCCTCCAGTACACGGTGGCGGCCACACCACAAACACGGTCGGTGTGATCTCACAAGACTACAAGCCCCTCCGATGTACAACAATAGTGCGCGCAAGCACCGAGTGGTAAGAGGTATGCAAACCTCACTAAACACTAAGCCCAAACCTAGAGCAAACGCATAAGCAGTGGTCTAATCAACCTAAGCACTTCGTAAAGCACCTACGCTAATCACCTAATGAATCACTAAGCACTATGCAAGTGGAGATCACTAAAATGGTGTATCAACACCATTGATATGTTTCCTCAGCTTCACGCCACTCAAATGGTCGGTTGGGGTTGTATTTATAAGTCTCACTGAGAAAGTAGCCGTTGGGGACGAAATCCCGCTTTTCTGCTATTGACTGGACGCTGAAGTCGTCCTGATCGGACGCGTCCGATCGTCCCGACCGTTGGAGCCGCGATCAACTGATCGGATGCTGCCAGCGTCCGGTCACCTGCCACCGGACACGTCCAGTTGCAATGTCGCCGCTCTGGAACCTCTCTGTACTCGACCGGACTCTGATGTCATGCGCCCGGTCGATTTGCCGCTAGCGTCCGGTCCAGCGTCCGGTCGCTGCTACTGACGCCTGTTGCTGAGCCTCTTGATCGAAGCGTCCGATTGCTTTCCTTCAGCGTCCGGTCCAGCGTCCGGTCACTTCTGTGAGCTCGTATCTTCGCGATCTTGCGTCCGGTTTGGTTCCTATCTTCATCCTTGGACTTTACTTGATATCTTGGGTCTTCTCTTGTGCTCCTAAGGTCTTGCTTATGGTGTTGATCATCGGATCATCACGTCGCCTTCGTCCAAGTCACGTCTTGCATCCTATTGAACTACAAAACAATCACTTGCAAATTCATTAGTCCAATTTGGTTGTGTTGGTCATCAAACACCAAAATCCAAAATAAATGGGCCTAGGGTCCATTTTCCTTACAATCTCCCCCCTTTTTGGTGATTGATGACAACACGACCAAGGCAAGCAAATAATAAAAAATTTAGAATTTAAAAGCTATCTACTTGCTTGGATGAAATGCAGGGGCAAGATTATATGATGCCAAAAGATACTATTTGTAAGACTAGAAGATACTACATAAAAACTTATCTTGCCCTTGCAAATGTCCCTATGTGGTATTATGAATTAAAGCATTGCTTCCTACAAATTCTCCCCATTGCATAGGCTAATCCATAATCCACTATCCTTCCTTTCTTGGACCATTACCACTTGTAAGTTATTATGATCTAGCTTTTGGTCCTACAAATTAATGCTTGCTTTTGGTCCTCTAAATTCTCCCCCTTTGGAATCAAACACCGAAAAGAAAGATATTAGTAGTACAAGGGAGGGTCAAACTTTGTGAACCTTTGTATGTAGAGTGGAATATGTCACAAAATTTGACTCTCACATTATATAGATTAAGCTCCCCCTAAATATATGCATACATATGGTAAAAGGCAAAGCATATGTATAATTGGTAAAATATTGCTCAAGGGAATTTAATCTATATAATGCATGGAGAAAGCATATAAATATCAAAATGAAATCAACATGATGATATCGGTTTAGAAATACCACATGTGAAAACCAATTTGATTTCTACCACTTGCAATAGGTGGTGGATATTTGAAGTATGATGCTTAACTCCGGGGACTCTATTTTCCTTGCAATGAGACTACTACACATATGATAAACTTGAAAAGGTATTAGTCTCAAAGCATCCAACTTGTAGAGTAACCTCCCCCTAAATTTGTGCACACAAGTATGGGATACTTGTAGGAAACATGCACATTGATTTTTAGAATAAAAAATAACACTTGAAAGATGACATCATATGAATGTGAGAATCATTTTCAAAGAAGATATTCGGGAGAAATTATTTATAATTTGGAATTTGACACATATTAGAAGAACAATTCTAAGAGAAGCTATGTGCCGTGCTCTTAAACAATTTTAAACCATGTAGGTTTGCTCCAAGGGTTAAGAATGAAACCGAGCAAGCCTACCATAAGATATACCTAGTGTATGCATGACAAAAGATATAAACATGCAAAAGCAAACATAGGCATGAAAGGTAACTGGATGCTTAAAGATACCAATTTGTAAGAAATACCACTTGTAGAAAATGCAAATTGATACTACTTGAAGAGAATTAAATCTAGTTACCTAACATGGGAAGGGGAATTTAAGTCCATAGTATTCACTAACCCACTTGGCAATGATTTTATCCATCATGATGCATCTCATGAAATGCATCCATACTTTGCCAAGTCTCTAAATTTCCCGAAGTCCATTGGACTTCTCATTTCGCTTTCGGGATCCAAACCTTCTTGGTGCTCTTCATATTGAAAATGATTTCCTTTAGCACCCAAAAGTGTTTGACCCCATTGATGGCTTGCTTGTTCACCTTGATGACCACCACCTTGTTATTTTTCTTCTTCTTTAACAAGTATGGTGTGGAGGCCTTCTTGTCCATCTTATTGGTGTAGGTGTTGGAGAGCTTACTGGTTTGCTTCTTCTCTTTCTTCTTTGCTCCACCCCCATTCTTCACCTTGTACTCATAGGACTTGTGACCTTCCTTGTGGCACACGTAGCAAACCACGATTTGTCCTTCATCAAGCTTCTTCACTCCCTTGACGGTGTTATCTTGATGAAGTTGGGCTTGTTT